AATTTCATATGGATAATGGACAGGATGTGGCATCTTAGTGTGGTTGTGGCTTAAAATGATCTCATCAGTAAAATTGGAGGAATTAACTGCTTTATGAGGTCTCTGGTGTCTCTAAATTATGTGATTAAAATGAACAAGTAACCATGAGATGGACTTTTAAAAAAGGTTATAGGAAAAAAAAGATAATGATGTGTGGAATGGAAATAAAGGGGGAAAAGTGCTGAAAGCAGGCCAGGAAAATAATGTACTCATATATTCCATTGACTTGATGATTGTTGTAAAAATTAGATAGTCATAAAAGTCTACATAAGAGGAATATGCCTTTTGGCAGCTATGTTTTCTTACTAGTAAGTCAAAATTTAGAGAATGATAAATGGAAAATAGAGAAAACTTTTTTTCTAGATTCAAATGATAAGGAAACAACTAATAAATATGAACCTAACCAAAGCTCATTAGATCTCTTGTTGCCTTGAGTTAACTGGCCTCTTTGTGAAAAGCTGATTGCTATTTAGATTGTATGTAATAATACCATTGATTGTAGAAGACGATGTTCAATACATTGTAAAATGTTAAATGGAGGGGGATTCAAATAAATTTTTATTATGGAAAATTCCAAACATACACAGAGTAGAGAGAATAGTCTAATAAACCTCCATGCACCCAAACTTATTCTAAAAATTGATCAAGTCACAGCTGACCAGCTTCAGCCATGTATTTCCCCCTTTTTTCCCAGTCCTCAGATTTTTTTTTGGAAGCAAATCTCAGCTATAATATCAAGGAAGATTTTTGTCAGTATTACTAATATAAGTCAGATTAATTTAAGTGATTTTAATGAAAATATTGCTTTCTGTTAGAAATGATGCTTTCAGTCCTTCCAGTGCTTCATATTGAAAGTGACAAAGCCTGAGAACAGAGGTGCTCAGGGCTGGAGGAAGAAATATCCGTCTGGTGTTCTTCTGTCTTTCTGCGCCTGTTTGTCTGTCTGTCTGTCTGTGGTGTGGCTTTCTCTTTGTTGTTACCTCCAAACATACTTGTACCAATTTTATTTAATTTCATCACACTTATTTATCATCTAATTCTTAAAGGGACTAAAAACTACACTTAACATTTCATTGCTCTAAAATTATTTTATTATCCCAAATATTTTCTGTGTTTGGCTACATCAAAATCATTGCTAACTTTTAATAAAGGTGTATTCTATTAATTAAAGAACACCTTTGTATCACATTATTTGAAACTTATCAAGAGAGGCAAACAATTTTATTCAATGAAGAGCAAGGAATTTTACTTGAGAGGACCCAGTCCAGGTGAATCTATATCTACACAGTGAAGCTTTTTTCCCCCTTCTCTCCTTTTGTTTTTGAAGCTAAGAATATCCCCAATTTTCACCTTGTACTCTCCCCACAAAAGGCAGATTTTCGCCCCCGGTACAGTTAACTATTGCATTTGCTGAAGGTAGAAAAGAAAACAAATCGAAAAATCAGTATTAAAGCTCCCTTCTCCTGTTTTTAGAGACTTAATTTAAAAACACATTCTGTTGACATAAGAGAAAAGCAATGAAAATTCCTTTTATGTTTCTTCAATTTTCTTTACCTTATAAGTAACTGCGATTTTTAAAGAAAAATATTTACAGCATTACAATTTCTCTCTCTCTCTCTCTCTCTCTCTCTCTCTCTCTCTCTCGCAGGTCTTATATGTCTTTAAGAAAGTTAAAAATTATTGCCAGTTCTATTGGTTCACATCTTTTAGTTGAGTAATGACTTGGATTTTTAACTTTATTTATTAAAATAGATCTCCTTTCCCCTTCCAACCACTGCTGAAATCAACTAAATTCTCCTTTTTTAGTTTGTAAACATTCTTCACTGTGAGTTCAATTGAAGGTCACTGTTCCCAGTGAACCTCTCATTTTCTTTCATGTTGTGTGGCAGTCTGTCATCTTTTAGTGGTTTTGATGTGGTTCATCTTTGAGAGCCACAGGAATTCCACCCAGAGTTCATTTATCTGCTAGGAAATAAAGAACCTGCTGGTGCACATTTGCCTTGTTTTGCCTGGGTTATAAAAGAAGGCAATCTTTAATGAGGTAAGTCATGAGTAATGTATAATGATTTTGGAAGTCAGTTTTGGTGTGAACAAAGTGGAAAGTAGACTTGAAATGAGACCACCTCTCATTCATCTGTCTGTCTATCCATTTATTCACCCATCCAGTCCTATAGGTTCATTATTTAAATGTTTAGACATTTTCCTGATTTTTCCTTTTTTTAATGAATTATATTGGAATAAAATGTAACAAAACACTCAAAACACTCAAAATCAAGATTGATGATTACTTTTGGGATATTTATTGAGCCTGATTCTTTCCCTCTATGAAGATAACCTTGTTCATTTAGTTTGCTTAGGAAAAGGGGAAGAATTAAATAAAATGAGAGGTAATTTCTAATCTTATTCTATAAAATCTAAACCAAATCTGAAAGTTAGGTTAGGTTTACATGAAATGTGGGGAATGCTTGTGTGTGTGTTATGTTTAAATATAAAGAATAAAAAAAATAAAACTTAATTTAACCATAAGCATATGCCGCTATTTGGAAGCCAGTTAACTGTTATAGGCAATATTGGTTTGATTGAACCAAATCAGTTGTTTGGGAATCACATCATTTTGTCCTATGGAATTCAGCTTCACTCTCCCCCCTTTCCGCTCTAATCACGCTTGGGTGTTTGGAAGCCCCTATTTTGCTGTCTTTGCCCATAGCAGATGAGTTCTCACTTGGGGGTCTAGGGGTTTGTAGCTGGATTGTGTATTGATACAAAGACTAGAGCAGTTCTCTCTGGCCAAAACACTCTAGAAGAGGATTCTGTCCCTTGCTCTGATAAAGAAAAAAGGCTTTTATCTGTGCCTCGCTGAGAGTATGACCATGACAATAGCCAAGCAGTTCCCAAGAGTGCCGGATTTGGAATCTATGGCCAGAAAAAGAGAAAGAAAAAGACTTTCCCTTGTATCTCAGGTGTTGCAAGCCCTGGGCTGGAAAGGGAAGATTTGATTAGCTCTGGTCTTCTTGAGAACATTCTAGTCACAGAAGGAAAATACATCTCATGGTATCGTATACAAAAATATTACAAAAGCTGGCATGATTGGGCTCACTCTTTAGGAAAAATGAATCCATTAGAATATGGAGAGATTTTAGCTTTTTAGGTAGTCTGTATAAATTTAAATATGTGAATAGTTCACAATTAATAGAGTGAATTTAGGCTGTTATCCAATTTGAGCCATTCACACCCAAATTTACTTTTCCCTCTGACTTCTTGGGATCTATACTTTTTAAGGATAGGAATTACATCTATTTAGGTGTATCTAAACCCAACTTATGTGGGTGTAGACTTAATCTGTTTTCAACAAAAACCTATGTCATAAGCTACACAAAAGGAAATGTGATAGTTTAAAAGGTCTTTGAGAATGGGTAAAGCTTTTCTTTAGTTTAGAACTAATATATGGTGCTGTTAGATTTGAGTGCTGTGTTAAAGAAAAATTATATTTCTTCTCTGTGGGTACAGAGGGAAGTTAGAAAATCACTCAGTATGAGTAGAAATCAGAAGAAGCTTGCTGAGTTGAAAGTGACAAGGTAGCAAACATTGAAATGCCTTTCTAGAATTTATTGAAGGCTTTATGGCTAACTATTGGAAACCTCATTATTGTTATTATTATTTTGATCTTTCAACTTTAATATGCCATTCTAACTTAAAGCTTTAACTAAAATTTCTGTCCTGCTTATAGTTGTGAAAAATTAGATGCTAACAAAGGAAGTTATGGAGTTACTTTGTCTAGAGCTGTGTTGTTCAGTATAGTAACCACTAGCCACATGTGGTCATTTAAATTTAAATGAATTAAAATTCAGAATTAGCTTTTTCAGTCTCACAAGCTTTATGAGAAATGGTCAAAAGCCCAGGTAGCTCGTGGCTAACCTATTTGACAGTGCTGGCCTAGAGGTTTAAAAGAGTTTCAAGTCTTTATAGGCTCCTGCCTGCCCCTGTTTTGCTACTTTGTTTAGGAGGAGGGGAAAAGCTAAATGAGATAGAGGTGATTTCTTAACTTATTCTTTAAAATCTAAACCAAATTTGAAAGTTAGATTGGTTGGTGCAAGACCATACATTTCTACCATTGTGATCTATCACAGCAAATATTATTACCATAAAATCCTTGGATGGGTAAACTCTTGCTCTAAGAACTGTTGATTGGTGTGTCGAGATTTTTGTGATTGTGAACAGCATAACACAAATGCAAACTCTTAGCTGAGACTCCACGGATGTCTAGCAATAATTCACCACAGTAAGAGAATTTTCATAGCTTTTTTAGGTCTTTGTAATGTACACTGACTAAATTGAAAAAAAAATAGAGTAGGAAATTGAAGTGGGCACTGTCTTGATTCTCATTTCTGGATAGCTCAGGGCGTCCAGTCATTCCACTGGTATACACTGAGCACATACTGTGTGCTTCATACGGACTGAGCTAAACACTGACTTTACAAAGATAAGACATGTTCCCTGCTGTCAAGGAACTCAGTACTTGGAATGGAAAATAGACATGTAAAGAGATAATTATAACCCAATTAGTTAAGTGCAATAATAGAATTATAACTATAGATATATAAAGTCAAGATATGCAAAAAAATATAAATATGTATTTTTGGACTTAAGTGATTTATTACTAGGTTTTTACATTGGAGTTCTTTGTCCCTCACCTGTTGAAAAAGTAAGGACCTTGCAGTTTGACACTTGCTTTTGGTCAACTTACTCTACAGATGCAAACCTTTAGGTTCAGATTGCGGCACAGGCGGGGGTGTGGGGGGCGCAGAGCTGTGTGTATGGAGTTTTCTGGAGCTGGTTGGAAGCCAGAGGCGTGTGTGTGTGTGTGTGTGTGTGTGTGTGTGTGTGTGTGTAAGTGTATTCTGCCCACTGCGCTTGGTGTGTGATGGGTATGCCCGCTCATAGCCTTCTCCATGTCTCCCCAGCTCTCTGCGCCATTGTTGCCACCATCTGGTTCCCTGTGTGCGCCCACCGTGAGACCACCATCGTGAGCTTTGGCTACTCCCTGTACGCCGGCTGGATTGGTGCCATTCTCTGCCTCGTGGGTGGCTCTGTCATCCTCTGCTGCGCTGGAGATGCGCAGGCCTTTGGTGAAAACCGTTTCTACTACTCTTCGGGCTCCAGCTCCCCCACTCACGCCAAGAGTGCCCACGTATAAGAGAGCTGCCGGCCTGCCCACGGAGGTGCTGTAGATGCTGGGCCCAGGGCCCTAGGTTTGCTCACCACAGATGGGAGAAGCCCATTCCTCTGCAGGCTCCGAAGCCAAAGGTCTAGAAAAGCATCCTGTCTGGCATTTTGTAGTCTTAACACCCTGCTCCCATTTTGTTGCCTTAAAAAATAAATCTTTAGCTCAGATAATGCCCACACGGTTTTCTCATGGTTTTGCCCACTGTTAGCTCTTGGGCATTCTTTTGTTGCCCATAAAAATTATACCTCGATGTATTTTCGCTCTCTCTCTTTAAATTTCAAACATCTTGTAAACATTGCTGAGTTGGGTATGGGGGAGAGAAATAAAAGACACTTTTCAAACTGTTGTTACAGATGACACTGGGAGCCTCATAAAGATGCCTCTCTGTTCCCTGCCTCCTCTTCAGCTCCGAGGTCACTTAGTCATAAGCTAGAAAAAGATAGAATGGGGACATGGGGTGGGGGAGGGAGGGGAGCCGTGGAACTTGCCCTCCAGGGGAAAGTTTCCCTTTTGTAAGTTGAGGGCAAAGGGTGGGTTTTTTTTTTTTTTTTTTAGTTTGTGATTTTACATTTATCTGTACATATTTTTTCAAGATTGATCATTTTTATAACCACGGTTTTCCTGAAATTCTCAGCTCAGTATGAAGGAAATGAACCAAATAGACTTTCATTATATGATACATAACAGCACACGTAAGTATAACTCTAACTGGCATTCCACAAAATGTTTTTGATTTCTAGTTTATCTGATGTACTTTTTAATTCTACACATGCATATACTTCATCTTAACACATTTTAAAAGCTATTTTGCCCTGTCTCTGTTTTCATTGTTAGCCATCTGGAAGTGATTGTTGTTTAACACAAATTGTACTGTCGAATTTGGCTTTACGGGTGTAAACACTGACGGCGAATCAGTATCTGAGACCCCAGACTCTCCACACACTCATGGTGCATTTTGTTCTTCAAGTGAAATCTGTGCAATAAAATAACAGACTGTCTGCAAAACTGGCCTTTAGTATTCTGTTGTATCCAGAGGTATCGCATAGTGATGGTAAACAACTAGTGGGGGAAGCCCATTCCTCTGTCAGGCTCCAAAGCCAAAGGTCTAGGAAAGCATCCTGTCTGGCATTTTGTGGTCTTGACAGCCCCCCCCCCCATTTTGTTGCCTTAAAAATTGACTTCATTAGTCTCTGGTACTTTATAGGGAACCGGATCAGTGATGCAAGAACAGGCCCTTCTGCACCGCCTTGAATAATAAGTTATATTTTCCTCACTGTATCATGGTGGTAATGTGAGGTCATAAAAGTGTAACCTAGATGCGCTCGTTTCTTAAGTGGAGTGAAATTAGTGGCATCTTTAAGTCATATATGAATGGGCAGCAATCAGAAACCAGGTGTCAAGCATACACTTTTTACATTTACTTTGAGTCCTTATTAAAGGAATTGGGTAGGTATGAACAAGTATAAAAACCATTTTATTGGACCTTTAGGTAATAATATTTAAGTGCATTTTGTTCATAGATGTTTGGAAAGTTTGGACAAAGACACATTGAGTTGATTTTTGTTTGTTTTCTATTCCAGAAACTCTGTCAAGCTGTGATTCTGCTCCAAAAACACAGATTATAACCTATTCTAGCAGTGTTTTCCCAACAATACTAATTTCATTAGCTGATAGTCTGATAATTGGCAAACATTCCCTCTTTGGAAATATCCGCTTGGGCTCATCATTATTGTAGATATTTGTGTACATTAGGAGATTATAACCTGGTGGAAACTATTCCCCAATTACTTATGCAGAAAAGATAATCATCATGTTGATCAAAGTATTTGCTTGTTATGATATCGTTTTTGTAAGGACACAAGTCATGTGATTATATGGGGGACCCTCCCTAACTCAAAAACTCATCAGGTGACAATGATTGTGACCATGGATGGAGCAAAGGTGTTGGGGAAGGGGGTGGGCATGTAAAGCTTTGGCCCCATAACCCCTCTCCTTATAACCACCGGCTTGAATCAGAGTGTTGAGTCTCTTTCCTCTCCTCTTGCTGATGGATGTGCCCACCCAACCCCCTCCTTCCCTGAGGCTGCTGCTTGCTTTCTCATGGGAGGGGGTGTGCTACATGAGCCCCACTTTTCCCTGTAGCAGAAGAGACACCCCAGATCTCTCCTAGCTGACCAAATTAGGGAATTCCATTTTGTAGGTCATAACTCCAGTGTGGGAAAGAGAAATATCTATATGTTCAGGAGAAATATACTAGGAGCCATATATGTAATTTAAAATTTTCTAGGGCCAGTCTTAAGAAAACTAAAAACAAACAAGTAACATTCATTTTCATGTATTGCATGCAATCTAATACAGCCTAAATATTATATTAATATGTAAACAATTATTAGTGGGATATTTTACACCTTTCTTTTTGTTTAAAGGCTTTAGATTCTTGCGTATATCTGACCCTTACAGCACAACTCAATTGGCTGGCCACTCCTTAAGTGCTCAGTGGCCACATGGGGCTTGTGGCTATTGAATCGGACAGCACAGCAGGTCTGCCTCAGTAACCACAAAGAGGGGTTCAGCCTTGATGACTTTATCTGCTCTTATTAGAGCTCCATTAGAATCTGGCAATAACAGTGTTAATAATAGTCACCCGGTGAAAGACAATGACTCTGATCGCAGGTAAAATGGCAGACCCAAAGTGCTCTACCTGAATAATAGGGAAAAGGGAACTCATGTTCTTGAGACCTGTTAGTGCCAGGAACTTCACACCTTTAAGGATTCCACAGTCCCCGTTGTATAGGTGAGGAAAATGAGATTTAGAGAGTTTAGATTGTCAAGGTCAGATAGCCACTCTATAGACTTAAAATTCGATGTAATTCTAACTCTAAAGCCCTAGTTCTCCAACTCAAGAATCACTAGTATAAAGACAGGTAAAATGCAGATTCACCCTCTTCACCTCCAGAGATGGACTCTGGGTGGGAACCCCCAAATCTGCATTTTTATTGCATGCCCTCTGGTTCTGATGAGGTGGTTGCCATGCCACACTTTGAGAAGCAGTGAGGGACAGGCTTCTCCTCATGCCTGCCTGTAGTGCAGCCATTCCCCTCTTTGTCCTGGCTGGTCCTCAGCACGGAGATGACTTTGAGAGTCACATCCAGCTTCCCTCCACTCCGGCTTATTCTGAAGAGACCGCATGCAGGGGATCTTTGGTTTGAAATGAACCAGATCAGCTCATGCTTTCCAAGAATTGAATGTAAACCAAATTAGAGAAAGACTGTTTCAAGGGAATCTCTGAATCTAGGGGTGCTAGTTACAAGACGGCAACAAAAGAAAGGAGAAGATTGTGTACTGAAGAATACAAGTTACAGATTTGTGCTGGATTGGTGGTGTGGGATAACAATAGAACAAGGTTTGGTTGTATCTTGCCCTGTGTGTGTGTGTTTTTTTAAATCTCAAACGTGCGTGTCAGTGTTTCTCTATACACTGTACACAATGTGAACTGCAACATCTTAAATGTTTGGCAGGACATTCGTGCTCATGACATCACATGCTGGGAGGACAGGGAGGCCACTGTGGGGCTGGCCCCGGGGAGAAGCAGCCTCAGTGCTGCCATTGAGATGTCCCCACAAAAGAGTGTGTGACGGCCAGATGTGCAGCCGAAGGGAGACTGGACCGGGATTGTGGGGGGAACATTGGCACATGCTGCTTGGGGCTTGAATAGCAGCTCTTGAGGAATCTATATTTCTCTACCTCGACGCAGACTCTGAGAGCTCAGGCTTTGTGGCCCTGTGGCTGGGGGAGGGGATGGAGACGGAGGGACCTGTCACTGCTCCGTGCCCCATTGTTGGAATGAGAAATGTGGAAATGTTAAGCCACTTCTAGAGGGTTGTGGGAGGTAAGCATCGCTTATGCTTCACATCCAAATTACCTCCCAAAGAGCAAGGAACATCAGTGATCACAGCCTGGGGCTTTCTTTAAGTAAAACGGTTATTTCTCTTCTGTTGAGTGATATACAGCTTTGCTTTTCAAACGGTAAAGTGCTACAGATCATCCGGGGACCTTGCTAACATGCAGATTTTGACCCAGCAGGTCTGGGTTCTGCATTTCTGACAGCTCCCGGGGATGCTGATGTTGATCTAGCCTCACAACTGGAGTAATAGAGGATTTTTGAACACTGTAAAAAAATTCAAATAAGAAAATAAAACGTACCCATCATTTCATCATTAGAGTGATTTCTTTTTTATATATTCTTGGTCATCATTTTATTTTAAAACAAAACCATTAACACATTCTACATAGAGTTTTGTAACCTGCTTTAAAAAATCTTTTTATATGTAGAGAACACTTTCTATCTCTTGAAGTATTTTTCTAAAACAACATTTTTAATAACTGCATAATCTTCCATTGTTTGGACGTACCATGGTTTAGTCAAGGAGTTCCCAAGTATATCGTGGTTATCCTGATACCCTTTTAAATTTTTCCTAAGTAATTTTGCCATGAACATCCTTATAGGTAAATCTTTGCACATACACATGGTGATCTCTTTAACATAAGTTCCTAGAAAGGAATTGCTGGACTGCATATTCCAGAAGTGTTTTAAGAACAGTTTATTGTCCTGCTGGGAGGGGGTTCCTGGCTTCCCCCAGCTCCTATAATAGAATGCAATATATCAATTTAATATGTTGTTTTTAAAAGTTATTTGAAATATTTAAAATTTCAGTAATGTTGGTATGGGATTATATAAGAAAATACTTATAATAGCCCTGGCTGAGTGGGTCAGTTGGTTGGAGCATTGTTCAGTACACCAAAAAGGTTGCAGGTTTGATTCCTGGTCTGGGCACATACCTACGTTTCGGGTTCAATACTGGGTCAGGGTGCATACGGGAAGCAACTAATTGAAGTTTCTCTCTCATGTCCATGTTTCCCTCTGTCTCTTTCTCCCTTCCTCTATCTCTAAAATCAATAAAAACATATCCTCAGGTGAGGATTAAAAAAGAAAAATAGCTATAATAAATGGTTTACCAAAAAAATGTCAAAAGTATTTATGATAGGAGAAAAGGTATGAAGTGGGAAGGCTGGGGTTTGAAGTTCAGCCTGCTCCTCATTACAATTCTGCTTCCATCCAAACAGGAGCATTTATCTCCAGGAGACCTTGTTGGGGGTCGCTCTGATGCCAACAGCCCTTGGTTAGGAGTGTGAAACTCTGGGAGTATTGATAGCTAAACCCTTGTTCTTTATTTTATTTGTCCCCCTCCCCCCTCTCTAATCTACTAAACATAATATATAGAGACAAAGACAAAGCTGGGTAGAAATAAATCACTTGCTCATTTCCCCAAGCCTTCTAGACAATAATCCTGTGCTTACTGGTAAGCTAGAAGGAAACGTCACCTGTGCTCTCTTGCTGCCTGGTTTTATTTATGCATGTTTCAAGTAAGGGTCAGAAAAAATGCACATAAAGGAGACCTT